GGCCACCGGGTCGATGACCACCTGGGCGCCCGCCGCCTCGGCCCGGCCTCAGTGCGCTCGGCAGGTGTGTGAGAGAGCCAGCGCCGAGCAGAGCGGGCCCCTGGGTTCCAAGCGGGTCTGGGGCCTCTGTCTGCTGGGAGGGGCCGCGGGAGGAGACACCTTCCTGCTCAAGGGTCCCGGATCTTTTGTCTGGGGCGGGGGAGACGAGCATCAGAGCAGGGACAGAGTGCTGGCTTGTAGGTTTAGACCCCCGATCAGTTGGAGCCCAGCATCCTGGCCTGAAGGGTTGTCGCTCTCCTCCCAATCTTCAACCTTGGAAGAAAACCCCAGAAGTGAAGTCACCGTTCTGGTCTGAAGCAGCTTCGATCTCTTGCGCGGTCGCTCGCGCCCTTTCAGCCCTAATGTTGGTGGGTGCCGTCGAGCGGATTCCGACTCCTAGCGACCCTACAGGGCAAAGCACAACTGCCTCAAGGGTTTTCTAGGCTGTAATATTTAGGGGAGCAGATTCCAATACAGTGTCTGGGAAAATCGCGTCCTGGTGCTGCACCCGGGCAGCCCGGGTCGAGGCGCTTAGCTAACCCGCGTGTCTGCCCCTCCTTCCCCGTCGCAGCACCCGGTGGAGACGGAGGCCATGCGGCGAAGCGGACCCAAGAGCGGCGTTGTTCTGGCCCCGGTGGCTGGGGTCCATGATGCCTGTCAGATGATCAGCAGAGCCCAGCTGGGCCAGGAGCCCCCCCGGAGGACCGTGCTGGGGGTGCTCACCGAGAACGGGCAGTACAGGAGGGCCTGCGGCCAGGTAAGGAGGACTCCGAGGGCCCGGCGCGCTGCTTGCTGAGGGCGGCTCTCCTGCGATGTAGGAGGGGCTTCATGGTCGCCCTTTACTCACAAACTCCCCTGAGTGTTCCAACACTGGAATCTGGACTCTAAGGAAATTGATTTTTTAAGAGCATCTTGATGGATCCCCTTTTCAGCTAGAAATAGTGAATAATTTATTTTTCCCAGTATCAAGGAAATAAGTCCAGAAACTGGATTAAGAATATGTAAACTTATTTGGGTGCTAAGCTAAAAGGAGGAGCTTGGTGGTGCAATGGTTAAGAGCTTTGCTGCTAACTGATGGGTGGCGGTTAGAACCCACCCACCAGCTCTGTGGGAAAAAGACCTGGCTGTCTGGTGATCTGCTCTTGTGTACAGCCTAGAAAATCCTGTAGGGCAGTTGTGTTCTGTCCTGTAGGGTCCTTGTGGGTCAGAACTGACTCCATGGCACCCAACAACAGGCTAAAAGGAAGCATGAATGCCCGATGTTGTTGTTAGGTGCCATGGAGTGGATTCCGACTTACGGTGACCCATGTGACAGAGCAGAACTTCCCCGTGGGGTTTTCTAGGCTGTGATCTTTACTGGAGCAGATCATCAGGTCTTTCTCCCGAGAAGCCACTGAGTGGGTTTGAACCGCCAACCTTTGGGACAGCAGCTTAGCTACTTCACGGTTGCACACTGGGGGTTATCCAGGTCTGAGTCGTGGTCAGACTGATGTAAGCATGGCTTGAGCAGTCCCACACAGCCTGTGTTATGTTTACCGGGATAGTGTTAGACAGGCCTTCAAACTGTTTTGTTCTGGTTTGAACTCCTGCTGAGAATCTGCATTTTCACTCTGGATAAACTGAATCGGAATCTACATTTTAACAAGATTCTTATGTATAACTTCCTGGGAACTTGTTAGAAGCCTTGGAATCAGGATCAAATCAGGCTTGACTAGATCACTTCAGAAAAGGTGCTTGGAAAGCAGGCATCTCATCAACACTGGGCAAACAGGCACTGGGCCCTCTGAGACTAGTTGTACGTGCTCAGTTGATTAGAGGTGCCTCCCTTAACAGATTGGAGACAGATTCAGACACTTAAACGCAAATGTGGAGTTTGAATCCCTAGGAATGGACTTTGAGATAGAAAAAAGCTTTCCCAAGCCTGCTATGAGCTAAGCCCTTTCACGATGATGCCTTAAACCTGCGTTGCCATCTCTAATGGACCGAGGCTCGCAGTGGTCCAGTGAAGCAGGTGGGCCAGGCGCCCTCCCGTTTTTGTTGTTTGGTGTTGTTAGTTGCTGTTGACTCAGCGCTGACTCATAGTGACCTTACGTGTAAATCACAACGCTGCCCAGTCGTGCGCCATCTTCAGGATTGTTGTTGCTGTGCTTGAGTCTGTTGTTTGGCTATCGTGTCAATCTCATTTTATAGATGAGAAAACTTGAGAGGTTTAAGAAAGGCCAGAACAAACAAAACGAAGTTTTGGTGGAGGCTGGTTTGGAAGCCTGCCTACTGACTCTTCAGCCGCCTGCTTTCTGGGGGTGTTTGGGAGGAGGGGGGAAGGGGGTATAACCAGAGTGACCTGGTCAAAGCCTTTGGAGAAGACAAAAGTGGTTATAGCAAACTTAATTTACGTAGTGGTATTGATTGCTTTAAACTTAAAGTCTAAGACCTGGTTCTTAGGAATTGGCAGTGATTCCTTTGCTGATCGGTCTCACATTAAATTCATAACCCTTAACCTTTTATGTGTACTCCATTCCTCCACAACTTTCTTAGAAATTTATTTCATATCTTCTTTCTCTTTTTAAAAAATTATTATTTTTGTTGTTGATCATATACACAGCAGAACATACACCAATTCAACAGTTTCTATGTGCAGAATTCAGTGACACTGATTACATTCTTCAGGTGTGCAACTATTCTCGCCCCCTGTTCCTAATTGTTCCTCCCCCATTAACATAAACGCACTGGCCCCTAAACTTCCTGTCTAATCCTTCGAGTTGCTGTTGCCAATCTCATCCCATATTCAAACCAAACCCGTTGCCATGAGTCAACGGTGACTCGTAGCGACCCTGTAGGAGAGAGTGGAGCTGCAGCATCTTTACAGGAGCAGATCACCAGGTCTGTCTCCTGTGGAGCCACCTGGTGGGTTAATAGTCAAGCCCTGAACCGTTGAGCCGTCAGGGCTCCTCTTTAATCTCCTAGTTCCTCCTAATTTCTCCAGCCTGTAAAAGCTAGGTGCCCCAGGGCTTCGTCTTTGGTCTTCTGAATTTGAGTTCACTCCCTAGTGGTCTGAGTTAAATACCATCTGGTGGGTGTTGGGAAGGCACTGGTGATTCAGTGGTAGAGTTCTCGCCTCCCACAGCCTCCCATGCAGAAGACCTGGGTTCCTCTCCTGGCCAACGCACTTCAAATGCAGCCACCACCTGGCTGTGAGTGGAGGCTTGTTTGTTGCTATGATGCTGAACAGGCTTCAGTGGAGCTTCCAGACTAAGAGACTAGGAAGAAAGGCCTGGTGATCTGCCTCCAAAAATCAGCCAGTGAAAACCCTGTGGATCACAACAGTCTGATCATGGGTGGTGCAGGACTGGGCTGCATTTCTACCTGATGTCAGCTAACAACAGCAGCATCTGTTGATGGCTCTCAAATTTTGATCTCTGGTGCAGACCTCCCAGCTGTATCACAAACTCACATACTCAGCAGGCTACATGACATCTCCACTTCGTTCATGGAATAGACGTCTCAAACCTGTGTAAAACCAACCACCTGTTCTCTTCCCTGCCCTCAGCCTGCTCTTCCCAGAGTCTTCCTCATCTCAATCAATGGAGTATTCATCCTTCCTGTTGTTTAGCCCCAAAGCCTTGGTCATCCTTGGCTGTTTTTCCCCTACCCACATCTAACCTGCTGAGAAAATCCTGTTGGCTCTGCCTTTCAGAGTGCCCAGAACCTCTTTACTGCTCACTGTTCTTGTTACCATTCTGCTCCAAACCCTGTTATAGCTCCCCTGGGATTTGAAAGTTCATCACTGGCCGTCTTCTCCAATTTGCTGTCTTTACCTACACACAGCGTGAGTGATCCTTTTCAGACATACGTCAGATCACACCACTCCTCCGCCTAAAGCCTCCAGAGGCTGCCCAGCTCCAGTGCAAGGCCTTGGCGCCCTACAGAAAGGTCTCTCTTTTCTTTCTGGCCTTTCTGTCCCTCTGCTCCATCCACATGGCCTCCTTGTGTGTCCCTAAGACAGCCGGCACGCTCCAGCCCCGGGGCCTTTGCCCATGCTGTTCCCTCTGTCCTGGGTGCTCCCTCCCCGTCCCCATGTCTGCCTCGCTTACTCTCTCGCTGCCTTCAGATCGTTGCCCACCCTCTCATCTGCAGTGGGCCTTGCCTGGCCGCCTCGTCTAAAATGGCAACGACCCTCCTTCCCTGCACCGTTTTCCTCCGTAGCGCTTGTCACCCTCTGACGTAGTCTGTCTTTTCTTGTCCGTCTCTGCCAACTAAAACAGAAATTGCATGAGGACAGTTATTGTTGAACGTTTGGTTCCTGTTCAATTCTGGGCACCTGGAACAGCATCCAGCACACAGTAGGTGCGTGGTAATTATTTGTTTAACGACTGTGTGTCCCAACCTATGTACATGTATAGATACGCCAAAAATTAAACTTGGTGGCAACATGGAGACCTGGTTAGAGTGACTTGCAGTTTATATGCCCTGTTTTTTTCCAGTATCACCATAAAGAGTGTTTTCTCACCAGACATGAGCCACGTGTATTTAGCTTGTCACGTGGAAACGTACTAACTGTCAAGTGTTGTTGGGTGCAGTCGAGTCAGTTTTCAACCCATAGTGACCCCAGATGACAATCAAACTACTCCACAGGGTTTTCTAGGCTGTAACCGTTACAGGAGCAGATCGCCAGATCTTTTCCTGCGGAGCAGCTGAGTGGGTTCAAACCACCAACCTTTCGGTTAGCAGCTGAGTACTCAACCATTGAGCCACCAGGGCTCCTCAGGTGCTGGTGTAGCTACACGGATTTAGGACTCACCTCCCAGCCCACTGGTTTGAGTCACACAGGTCCACTTTGCCCATCTGGTGTTTGGGGTGGCCTCTAACAAAAAGCTCAACCCTGTTCTAGGGGATCACAGCAATCGGGTGTTTCTCTGGATCGGAAAATGCCGTCCCTCCAGCTGGGAAAAAGGCGCCGTCTGACTGCGGGGTCCGTGTGCCGTCCATGCAAGGATTCGATATCTACATGGATGAGCCTGGACAGGGAGACAGAGAGAGCTCTTCAGGGAGAGAGGAAATGGTGTTTGAGGAGGTGTACGGGGTAGACACCAGCGCTCCCAAGTCGGATCTCCACTTCCTGCTGGATTTCAGCACAGGTAATTCAACTCCAACAGCCGACGGGGCCTGGTAGTGTTCAATAGCGTGTAACTAGCCACACACGGAGCAATGACCATGGGAGCAGCTGCCTGTTGGAGGGCAGTGGTGGAATGGTGTTTTACGAGACTTATCTGGCCGTGCCGAATCCCTGTGGAGGGCAGTGGTGGAACGGTGTTTTACGAGACTTATCTGGCCATGTTGAATCCCTGCAGCTTCCCCAATGCTGGTCGATTCCTCTCTCCATTCTCAGTCTGAAGATGTGTCCGATTTTGGTTCCGACGTGATAAATGTGACTGAGTATGCTGAAGAAATTCATCAATATCTCAGAGAAGCTGAAGTGAGTTGTCCCAACTTTGACTTCAATTTGCAGCACCCCCACACACTTAATATTGTTGTTGTTGGGTGCTGTCAAGTCGATTCCGACTCACAGCGACCCCATGTGACAGAGTAGAACTGCCCCGTAGGGTTTTCTAGGCTGTAATCTGTACGGGAACAGATCACCAGGTCTTTCTTCCATGAAGCTGCTGGGTGGGTTCAAACTGCCGACCTTCTGGTTAGCAGCAGAATGCGTAAGTGTTACACTTACCAGTACTCCTTATACGTTCTTGGCCACAACCACCAGAGAATCTAAACATAAAAATATGAACAGTAGCAGTCGCGATGGTGAGGAGCATTCACTTGGACTAGGTCTGTGCGACTCGGAGGCTTCACGTTTTAAGTATTTCATGCTTAGCAATAACTCATATCGCCATTCTCCTCCCCTTAAGTCATTTGTAACCTGATTTCATTGTTGTTTTTAGCTACTGTCAAGTCAGCCCTAACTCACAGCGATCCCTGCGCCATCCGCATGATCGGTTGCCGATCGGACTGTGGTGATCCATAGGGTTTTCCCTGGCTGATTTTCAGAAGTAGATCACCAGGCCTTTCTTCCTAATCTGTCTTAGTCTGGAAGCTCCTCTGAAACCTGCTCAGCATCACAGCCACACACAGGCCTCCACTTTCGGACGAGCGTGGCTGTGCCTGAGGTGCGGTGGCCGGGAACCGAATCCAGGTCTCCCACACGAACGACCTACCAGTATTGCAGAACAGGAATTTCAGATCTTTCTTCCTCATCACGATGAAGATTTATCTGGCTCTTAACCCGTGTGATGACATTTTAAAAAGGACAGCTGTACTTTGATATGCCCTTTCTAGAAAGCGACCGTTTAAAACAAAAACTCTCCCCAAACAGGTGAGACACAGACCCAAAGCTCACTACCTGAGGAAGCAGCCAGACATCACGGAGGGCATGCGTGCCATCCTGGTGGACTGGCTGGTGGAGGTCGGGGAGGAGTACAAGCTCCACACGGAGACTCTGTACCTGGCCGTCAACTTCCTGGACAGGTTCCTGTCGTGCATGTCAGTTCTGAGGGGGAAGCTGCAGCTTGTGGGGACGGCGGCTATTCTTCTGGCCTCGTAAGTGGTCTTTGAGCCTGGGGAAGGGGAAACGGCAGCCTGTCAGAACACCGATTTTTTGTTTTCACTTCTTGAAGAAATGCGATGCTTGATAATTCAGATGTATTCAGGTATCCTCTGATAGAACATGGTCACGTTTACGGGATCTCCTCAGGTGGTGAATCTTACCACACGTTCATTCTAGAGCAGCAAGTCCGTCTGATGACTAAGGCAGCCGCCAGCCTCAAATCCAGGATCTAATTTAACTGTTTGCCAGTGCAGCCGTTTGGCTGTGTTCTGTTTTTGTTTTTTTTTTAAGTAATTGCTGTTATTATATATATATATATATATATATATATATACATATAACAAAGAAATCTCAGCATTTTTTTACATATGCAATTCATTGACATTAATTACGTTTGTTATGCTGGGCAGCCATCACCACCACCCATTTTCAGATTTTTCCATTGCCCTTAACAGAAGCTCTGGCTGTAGCCTGTCTAATACGAGTAAAAGTCCTATTTGTAAAGAGTTTGGTTACACAAAAGCTGTCTTCATGATCTAGCGAGTGACCCACAATAGCACAGTTTGTTTGCTTGGTGACAGTGAAGAGAGTACTAGGCTGGCCTCTGTTCCTCTCCGCCACTCTCTGGCATTCATAACAAGACCTAATGCTGTGGGAGAGATGGCTGGGTGGTGGCTGAGCTGCCTTTAAGTACACTGTTGTAGCCTGTATTTCCCTTCTGTTCCGATCTCGGGCATTCTAGTCTTCTATGCCTAAAAAGCTGCCAACTCCCCTCCCCTCAAAGGAAATAGAAACAAAAGCAGAAAAGAAGAATTTAGATTGGTGGAATTATCATTCTCTTTCTCTTGGATATACAGCATCATTTGATGATTCAGCAGAGAAAGCTGAACATGATCTTCTTAAAATCCAAGCCCTAAGGCATTTCTTCTGTCGTGATGTTTATCCTAGCATTCTTTTCCACAGAGTGGTTTGAGGTATCTAGAATTGATAAGGTTTTACCTGTGCTGTCTGTCATTCAGAATCTTGTTCAGTGTGTCAGAGGCCAAAACCTCAACCTCTCAACTGGAGATTGTTTCTGTCGCTACTCGTGGTAGTAAGTACAACATTGCTGTTGTTGTTGGTGCCGTCAAGTTCATTCCGACTCATAGCGACCCCATGTGACACAGCAGCATTGCCCCATAGGTTTTTCTAGGCTGTAAACTTTATGGGAGCGGATTGCCAGGTCTTTCTCCCACGGAGCAGTTGGAAGGTTCGAACTGCCTACCTTTTGGTTAGCAGCCGAGTGCTTAACCATTGCACCACCAGGCTCCTTAAGTACAATATATCCTCGTGATACATACGCTCTTGGTTTGGAAACAAGCTCCTAGCACATTCACAGTCCTGTGCTACTTTGTGATGTTTAAGTGGATATGTCTGGAAGGCCTGGTGATCTGCTTCCAAAAATCAGCCGGTGAAAACCTTACGCAGCACAGCGGTCCAACCCCATTGTACGTGGGGTCGCCATGAGGCGGGGCCAACTGGACGGCAGCTAACAACAACAAGTAGGTCTGTGGGCACAAACTAAAGAAGTCTGCAAGGCCAGGGTGTGGATTGCTCAGGAAGCGGAGCCAGACCTTCCAAGCTTTCCTGCTGAAAATTCTTTACCTTCACAGGAAATACGAAGAGATCTATCCCCCCGAAGTGGATGAGTTTGTCTATATAACTGATGATACGTACACCAAGCGACAACTGTTAAGAATGGAACATCTGCTGCTGAAAGTCCTGGACTTTGACCTGACTGTACCAACCACCAACCAGTTCCTCCTTCAGTACTTAAGGAGGCAAGGGGTGTGCATTCGGACCGAGAACCTGGCCAAGGTATGCGGCGCGGCCTCCCGATCACCCGAGAGTTCTTCCTTCCTTTTCAAATCTTTGACTTGGGCCTATAAAAACATCTTAGCAATCAAAGAGAGCTGATCTTAAGAAATGACTTCTGGATATGAGACCTTGCTTCTGCTTGCATTTGTCAGGCACAAGCTGTAATCACCCTATTAAAGAGAGTGTTGCTTGGAAATGGTCCCTTTATTGGACTCAGACCACATGCAGGTGATACCTCTTAGGGTTAGTTTGGCTCTAGACTCATCCTGAGGAGCCCTGGTGGTGCAAACGTTAAGCGCTCAGCTGCTAACAGGAAGGCTGGGGTTTGAACAAACCAGCCATTCCGAGGGAGAAGGACCTGGTGATCTGCTCCCGAAGATGACAGCCCAGGAAACCCTATGGGGCAGTTCTGCTCTGTCACCTGGGGTTGCTGTGAGTTGGAATAGACTGGACAGCACCTAACAACAACAACAATCTCACCCTAACATATTAAGCCCTGAAGCATTATTTGGTCATCTGGAGTCACGGAAATTTAGTTGAAGGCACTAAGTATTGGTTTCGTCAACTTGGTTTCCAACCACTGTGATCTGGGATATCTGGTATTTATATGCTATGCAAAAAAAAAAATAATAAGTATATCTGTATAAATTCCCCAGTGTTTCTTCTAATCTTCTGGCCTGTTCCCACTGGTACCTTTCTAGCCGCTGAACTACATGCATTTGCCTGATAAACTAATGACTTTATTATGGTCCTATTTTTGCCTTTTGGCTGAAGGCTGTGTTCTGTTCCAGTTGCCAGAGCAAAATCGTTTCTCTGCCTGGCATAATCCTACCATTAGCATAAGCTGAGAAACGTAACTCATCCCACGTTCTAGGCGAGTAGGCCAAGTACTTCCGTATTGGAATTTTATTACAACATTTATTACAACATACATGTTACTCTGTTTACAAACAGGCATGCCAGTTATCACCCCAATGAATAGTTTTGAGTTCTTCCTGTTGTTTTAGTCGTCTAGTGCTGCTGTAACAGAGATACCACGAGTGGGTGGCTTTCACAAACAGAAATGATTTTCTCACCGTTCAGGAGGCTAGAAGTCCAAATTCAGGGCGCCAGCTCTAGGGCAAGGCTTTTTCTCTCTGTCGGCTCTCGGGGAAGGTCCTTGTCTCTTTTCAGCTTCTGTTTCTTGGTTCCTTGGTGATCTTCATGTGGTATGGCGTCTGTCTTCCCCTGTCTGTGCTTGCTTGCTTAATCTGCTCTTCTATATTTCAAAAGAGATTGATTTAAGAGCACCCTATACTAATCCTGCCTCATTAACATAGCAAAGAAAACCCTATTCCCAAATGAGATTATAACCACAGGTAGTGTAGGATTTATAACCCATGTTTTTTGGGGTCACAGTTCACTCCACAACACCTAAGAAGCACAGTTCTACTCTGACACACATGGGATTGCCGTGAGTCAGACTGACACTATGGCAACTGTTTTTTTGTTTTTTTGTTTTTAATTATGAAGGTATTTATCACTAGATGCTGGTTGTACAAAGATAAGACGCAATTCCCTTGACATTTATAGTTTTTACTTGTAACCCAAGTCGCTGCTGGTTCCAATGAAATCTCTCTTGTGCTTAGTACGTAGCAGAACTGAGTCTACTGGAAGCTGATCCGTTCCTAAAATATCTTCCTTCACTGATAGCCGCAGCAGCTTATTGTCTGGCAAACTATACCATCAACAGGCACTTCTGGGTAAGATTCTAGCTTCTTTTTTTCCAGATGAAATTTGAGGACTATCTAAAGTCTGTTCAGCCTCTTATGAGAGAGAGTTGGTTTAATAGGGAGCTGGTTGTCTTGGCAATAGGAGCCCTGGTGGTACAGCGGTTAAGCCCTTGTCTGCTAACCAAAAGGTTGGCAGTTCAAACCTACCAGCTGCTCCAAGGAAGAAAGATGTGGCAGTCTGCTTCCATAAATGTTACAGCCTTACAGACCCTATGGAGCAGTTCTACTTTGCCCTATAGGGTCACTATGAGTTGGAATCTACTCATTGGCAGTGGTTTGGGTTTGGTTTTGGGGTCTCGGCAGCAGACTGCAGCATGTGGCTGAGACTTCTGGGCCAGCCAACATGGCTTTGAGTCAGTAGTGATTGCAGGGAGTCAAGGAGATTGCATGGGCCACCTGTTGAACAAGAGGAGGCCTGATGGCCACACAGGGAGGGTCTGGTAGCAAAATCATTGACCACTTGGAGAAAAAGTGGCTGACTTTCTCTCTCTTGGTGTAAAAATAAAAACCTGGTCCACCTGAGACCAGAAGAACTAGAAGGTTCCTGGCTACCACTACCCACTGTTCTGATCAGGGCCGCAATAGGTGGACCCTGATAGAATGGGAGAAGAATTTGGAAGAGAACCTCAAATTCCTAAAATGAACAAACCAGACCTACTGGACTGGTTGAGACTGAAGGACTCCCTGAGACTACTACCCTGAGATACTCTTTAAACCAGGGCTTCGAACTGGTTCGAACTGGTTCGGTCATGGCCAATGAAATGAAACTGGAACGGACCCAAATTTTTACAATTTGGGTGAACTGCAATGATAACCAGAATGGGAAAAGTTACAAGTTGAAGTTCTGGAATGGAAGACTCGGAAGATGCATAGTGAGCCCTTTCAGGAGCCTGATGCATGAGACTGGATGATTGGCAGGGCTGTGGAGAGTGACACGCATTCAGAGTGGTACGGCCAGCCGCCATCTTTGAGTGGGGTGCCCCTGTTTCCAGCTCTGTTCGAAATCTGATGGACAAGAGAATTGGTTGCTATGCAATGCATATGCTGCCCTTGTTTTCTAAGAGGGACATTAGGTTTTCTAGCAGGGCTTTGACCCATAATTTTCTCCATTCAGGTTATCATTCCGGTTCATCCAAATTTTTAAAATTCAGGTCTGTTCCAGTTTTGCTTTCTCGGCCATGACTGAACCAGGAAGAACCCGTTCGAAGCCCTGCTTCAGACCTTGAGCCGAAACTAGCCCCTGAGGTCACCTTGTAGCTAAATAAAAAATTGGCTCAGAAAATAATGAATATTACCTGTAAGTACTGTGCGCCTTTAAAAAATCACCTATATGAGGCCAAATGGTCAACAGTTACTTTAAAACAAAGATGAGAATGTAAGGGGTCAGGGAAACTAGATTAATGGAAATAGTACAACCAGAACGGAAATAATGAGAATGCTCATGCATTGTGAAGAATGTAACCAATGTCACTGAACAGCTTGTGTGGAAATTGTTGAATGGGAACCTAAACTGCTGTGTAAACCTTCATCAAAAACACAATAAAATATTATTTAAAAACAGCAACGACCTAGTCTATTTAGGATGGCCAGAAGGTGGCACCAGGCTTTCAAGAGGGCGTGCAGCCAGTGTTGCCTCTTGCCTGAGAAGATGGCAGGATGGGAAATGAGCTGTCTGCAGCTTGGTTCTAAAGGAAGCGAGGTGTCTCCTCTTCTTTTCTGGAATGCTTATTAGTATCACTTGTTACTAATACTAATACCATGAGGTGCTGCGTTTTGATCAGGCATCTCTTACACCATACAAATGGTGTGGTCGGGCAAGTAGAGGCTGCTCAGGACCAGTAAAAATCCTGCTCATTGTGGAACTGAGCATTCTAACAACACAAGGGAAGCAGGTTTAGAACTCAGCCTGTTCTTCCCACTGTCTTATTTCTAAAAGCCTGTGAGGGAGGATGGTGGTTTTTGCCTTGTTTTAGTGCCTCGTTACCTTTCTCACAGTTTTATCTTTGGATGTCTGTTGTCTCGTAAAGTTATGCGGAGCATTTTCTTTTTCCTTTTGTCTTGATTAGCCAGAAACCCTTGCTGCCTTTACAGGCTACTCGCTGAGTGAGATTGTGCCCTGCCTGAGTGAGCTGCACAGAGCCTGCCTTAACATGCCCCGTCGACCTCAGCAAGCAATCAGGGAGAAGTACAAGGCTTCAAAGTAAGTCACGTAGGACGCCTTACCGGGCTGACTTGTCAGAGCTTCTGAGGTTGGAGTGATGTCAGAGCTGGAAACAGAGCAAACTGCATGTCTGGTGCTAGGCTGGAAATTAAAGTGACACCTAAAATCAACAAAACCAGTTTGGAGAGGCCTAGATTTATAATTTGTCAGTTAGTAGAACTTATAATCAGGGAGCCCTGGTAGTGCAATGGTTAAGCACTTAGCTGCTATCTAAAAGGTTGGCAGTCTGAACCCGCCAGCGGCTCTGCAGGAGAAAGACGTGGCCGTCTGCTCCTGTGAAGATGACAGCCTTGGAAACCCTGTGGGGCAGTTCTGCCCTGTCACACGGGGTCGCTGTGAGTCGGAACCAACGCGACGGCACCCAACAACAACAGTACGTCTAGTCGGATAACTTCCTTCCTTTCTACTGAAACTACTAGAAAGTTTTCTGGCCTAAGTGATATTTTACAGAACCGAGGTCCCTGGGTCCTGCTGAACTTGCTCGGGTCTTGTTTCAGGTACCTGCACGTGTCTCTCATGGAGCCTCCTGCTGTCCTTCCTCTGCAGTGAGTCTCCTGCCTGAAGCCCACATGGCGCCGGACCTTCACGTCATCAGAATGGGCCGTTGTCTTTACAGGCTCAGCAAGTGTTGCCACGATATAGATGACAGATTTTCTTAATGTAAATTTATTTAAGGTTTCTTAGACGTAGCTTGTAATATAGCCTGACATTTGAGAACTAATAAACAGCTTGATTTATGACCATGTGTTAAGCATATTTACTAGTTAGCACGGCTGAGACTTGCTTGGAATTTTTGTTGAGAGTATCAACGATGTCATCTCCACATCCAGAACTCTTCTAACTGGCTGTATAAACCCAGCATACTATTAGGACGACATGTTCCTGGGAACCCACGGAGTTTCACATTTGATAAATGGATACCCTGAGACTTTTTCCTTCCTGTATCTTTATGTCCACATACCTAAAACCAAACCAGTTGCCGTCACGTCAGTTCCAATTAATGGTGACCCCCTGTGTGTCAGGGTAGAATTGTATTCCATAAGGTTTTCAATGGCTAATTTTTCAGAAGTAGATTGCCAGGCCTTTCTTCCAAGGCACCTCTGGGCGGACTCAAATTCCAATCTTTCTGTTACCAGCCGGGCACGTTGACTGACTGTACTGCTCAGGAACTCCTTGTGTCTAGGAAACTGTCCATAAACTGACAAGGGAAGAACAGCCAGCGTAGAGCGCCTGGGGAAGGTGCATAAGCAAACGTTACCTAGCCTAGCTTCCCTCTGGGAACCTAGTCAGTGAGGACTGCGGCTGAGGACTAAACTCGGTCAGGTGCCACCTAGGGGTGATTTTAATTTAAAAGGATGTCATTCCATCGATGTTCTGTGCTGATTTACTCAACCATCAAGCATATATTTCAGCCTTAGAAGATGCTCTGAGAAGTAGAAAAATCAAACTTCACCGTGGGATGGGATTTCAGGATAATCACGTCAGCCCCTCATATGTGTCCCTTCAAGGGGATCTCGCCTCAGCTTGGCTACAGTCTGGATTTCCCATGATTCTACACTGTTACTTTTCTACGCATTTATATGTGGTCCCTGTCTGTGGTCCTTATGTAGGCTACAAGATGGGGAAAACTGAAAAGTTAAAATTGTTTTAACTTCTCTTTAAAGATTGGAAGGAGCCCTGGTAGGGCAGTGGTTAAAGCGCTCGGCTGCTAACCAAAAAGTCGGCGGTTCGAACCCCCCAGCCACTCTGTGGGAGAAAGATGTGGCCGTCTGCTTCTGTAAAGATTGACAGCCTTGGAAACCTTATGGGCCAGTTCTGCTCTGTCCTATGGGGTCCCCGGGGGTTGGAATCGACTCAGTGGGAGAAAGATGTGGCCGTCTGCTTCTGTAAAGATTGACAGCCTTGGAAACCTTATGGGCCAGTTCTGCTCTGTCCTATGGGGTCCCCGTGGGTTGGAATCGACTCAGTGGGAGAAAGATGTGGCCGTCTGCTTCTGTAAAGATTGACAGCCTTGGAAACCTTATGAGGCAGTTCTGCTCTGTCCTATGGGGTCCCCGTGAGTTGGAATCGACTCAGTGGCAACAGGTTTGGTTCTTTGGTTTTGAAGATTGGACAACTCCTTGGGTGGCGCAAACAGTTAATGTGCTCGGCTGCCAACAGAAAGGTTGGAGTTCGAGTCCACCTGGAGGTGCCTCATAAGAAAGGCCTGGCAGTCTACTTCTGAAAAATCCTCCATTGAAAACCCTACGGAGCCCAGTTCTACTCTGACACACATGGAGTCGCCATGAGTTGGAGTAACCTCTACAGCAACTGGGTTTAAAGATTGGGAGGAAAAAACAGTAGTGACCTGGCCTGAGGAAGGGACGTACGTACTGGAGATTGAACGTGGACTTTGTATTTGTGGTGTTCGTAGGCCACAATTAGTAGTCCTGGGCCAGCAGTGCTCAGAGGCACAGGAGCCTGTCAGTGGTCTCCCTCTCTGGGCCTGCCCTGTGGGGCCAAGAACAACAGAAGTGTATTTGCTAGGTTCCTTTCCTTAGAGAAGATGAGACCCGGGCAGGTTTGGATAAAATGGGAACAGAAATTTTCTGATACTGTCAAATGAACGGCTGTATTTCTGCAATCCACAGTGTGATAAAATGTTTTTGTTGTTACTTTGGGCAAAATGAAACTGGCTCCAAATTTTGCTTTTGTTTCAAGCTCTCAGGAAATTGTTTAAGTATAAAAATACAGCTGTATGTTGCATGTTTTGTGAAGACTTTTTTATATTTTTATAGTACCCACAAGCTCCTAAAAGGGTGTAGCATTGTCTTTTTTTCCCCCTGTAGGTAAACATTCTCAAAATGTCTCCATTTCTGGTTCCATTGAAGAAATCAACATTTCCCTAAATGCTTTGTCATTTATTGTGGCAAAAAATTTAACTGCACAGAGAAACACCAATAAATAGCATAACCGAATATATTTATTGTGAGTAGGTAAGAAGAGGGGATAGTGAAAGCAGGTTATGCAGGCAGGGTCCAGGCAGGGTTGTCTTCTGAAGGTCCTTGTAATTCTCCAGAAGAGCCCTGTGCTCAAGGCAAAATGCTAAGCTGCTTACTAGGTTATTGTTTGACTTGCAGGTGACTTTAGGAGAACCAGTTCCTTCAAGGCTCAAGGCTCAAAAGGACATTTAAGGGCAAAATGGCCTGGTGGGTCACCCCAGTCCATGAACCCAGAAACCTGGATTCCAGGAGAATTAAAACGTTTCTCGGTTGCTTACGTTTCACAAAGGAGATACAGGGCCTCCATCAATATGTTATGTAATCAGCAACTTGTAATCTCCCATTCTAATTTATCACTGGACATGTTGTCAAGAAATAGGAGCCCTGGTGGTACAATGATTAAGTGCTCGGCTGCTAACTAAAAGGTGGTTTGAACCCACCCAGCGACAATATGGGAGAAAGACCTGGTGATCTGCTCCCGTAAAGATGACAGCCTAGGAAACCCTATGGGGCGGTTCTACTCTGTCACATGGGGGCGCTCTGAGTCGGAAGGGACTCAGTGGCACACAGCAGCAACAGTATTGCTATTTACTACATGCACAGGTAGTCCCTGAGGACATATTCGAGTCCCAACTAACCACCCTTGTTTTGGACATCTTGTCATTAGTAGTACGTATTACATACAGTGTCGCAGTGCAGAATTTTCTAATGTCGTCGTTCTCAGATGTTCAGTGTTATGATTTATAAAGACACTGATAATAAAAAGCAATAATAATGAAAACTTAAAAAAAATGAGGTATTCAACTTACATCAGAATCGACTTATGACGGAGTCATAGGAACAAAACCCTGTCATAAGTCAGAGACTACCTGTATATGTTTAACTTTCCAACTATCCTCTCATGCCTGGCCATGGATGGGTATGATGTAGATGCACCATAGAAGTATCCAGTTTTGGCTAAGACCTTGGTGGTAGAAGTGCTGCTCTTGCTCCTTTCAGACCTTGAAGATTTGAAGGACATGGGAGGGAAGCGTCTCCAATTCTCCACCTGTTTACACTGACTGACCACCTCCCCGGGAAGTGTGTGTCTGTCTTAAACCATGGCAATTTGGACCCAGACACAATAGTATTTTCTTTTACTAGTGTTGAAGAGGAAAATTAATAAGACATCCTACTTTGACTTTAAGGTTTTTCTTATCCACGAAACCAAATGTTAACCAGAAAGAGCCTGACTCAGACTGCAAAAGCTGCCAGGAACTGCTCTACAGCCATGTAAGTTTGTCTTATCCTGACAGAAAAGGAGAGTCAACAAACCATTGCCACCTGATTTAATGAAAAAGACTCTAAGCAAAGAACAAACCAAAAACCATTGTCATCGAGTTGATTCCGCCTCATAGTGACCCTATAGGACAGAGTAGAACTGCCCTATAGGGTTTCCAACGCTGTAATCTTTCCAACTGTCCTCTCATGCCTGGCGCTGGATGGGCATGATGTAGATGCACCATAAAAGTATCCAGTTTTGGCTAAGACCTTGGTGGCAGAAGTGCTGCTTTTGCTCCTTTCAGACCTGTGGAGTGGCTGATGGGTTCGAACTGCTGATCTTTCGGTTAGCAGCCCAGGGTTTAACAGCTTTCACACCAGGGCCCCTTGAAAAAAACTCTAGGCTCTCCTAATTTAAATATCAGAAAATCTCAAGGCTGCAGGTGGGTGGAGGGCCAAATTGTTAGCGGCCAGGCCAGAAGTCTTGAGAAATGCCAAGCATGTTCTTCCCTTTCGGTTTTCTGTCTCCAGCTCTTTGCACGTGTCATCATATTTTACTTTGTCTTCTCAAGCCACCCTTTGAAATCTTCAGTTCTTTTACTTCATTATTGCTTCCTTTTGCTTTAGCTGCTTGACGTTCAAGAGCAAGTTTCAGAGTCTCTTCTGACATCCATTTAGGTCTTTTCTTTCTCTCCTGTCTCTTTAATGACCTCTTGCTTTCTTCATGTCTGATGTCCTTGATGTCATTCCACAACTCGTCTGGTCTTCAGTCATTAGTGTTCAGTGCATCAAATCTATTCTTGAGATGGTCTCTAAATTCAGGTGAGATATACTCAAGGTCGTACTTTGGCCCTCGTGGACTTGTTCTAATTTTCTTTAGTTTCAGCTTGAACTTGCATATGAGCAGTTGATGGTCTGATCCGCAATCGGCCCGTGGCCTTGTTCTGACTGATGATATTGAGCTTCTCCATTGTCTCTTTCCATAGATGTAGTTGATTTGATTCCTGTGTATTCCATCTGGCGAGGTCCATGTGTATAGTCACTGTTTATGTTGTTGCAAAAAGGTATTTGCAATGAAGAAGTTGTTGGTCTTGCAAAATTCAATCGTGCAATCTCCGGCATCATTTCTATCACCAAGGCCATATTTTCCAAACACCAATCCTTTCTTTGTTTCCAACTTACGAATTCCAATCACCAGTAATTATCCGTGCATCCTGATTGCATGTTTGATCAATTTCTGACTGAAGAAGTTGGTAAAAATCTTCAATTTCTTCATCTTTGGCCTTAGCGGTTGGTGCGTAAAGTTGA